GATTCAAAGTCAAGGGTCTGATTATGGGCCGGAATCTGTTGTCAGTGGCGAAAAATGGCCTCTGCGTATTAGGAAAAATATTTTAGACGGCAGGTGTTGTAGCTACTGCCAGAGGAAGTGAATATACAGTTCACATTGTCGATGTCTGGCTTGCAAATGATGCGAAGCTAGACATCCAGTGAAATACAGCCGTTTTTTTAGACGATAACTTAGGGGATACAGCTAAGATTAAGGTCTGTGTTTATGATTGAGTTTTCCCGCCGAAAAGACGAAGCCAGAGAGCCGTCTCATATACTATCAAATTTTCTATATATGGCGGAGTGTAACATAATCATTCTCAGGCAAGAAATCGTATGCAATGCCTTTGTTTTGTAGGAGAAACAACGGTTAAATATACTCAATTATGTAACACGTTGAAAAGAACAACGAAATAAACCAACAACCTGTGTGGATGACAAAATATCGCGTTTTATTTACATTTTTCACAAAATGAATCTTTACAAAAAAGTACAACTGTGTTTAAACGTTCTAGCACGTATTTAAAATCTTGCTAGGTACTGTCTCACATCGCCTAAGTCGGTGTTAAGTATTCCTAAAGCGACACGAGTCTCGAGACTAGATCTTGTGTGATTATCGCAACTAAAAAGTGTGTTTCTAGCCGAGAACTGTTTACATGACCTCGCGCTCCCGTACTTGCTAAAAGGAAGGGTGTAGCTCCTTGCCACTGGCGTTTTTGTGTTCGTTATCTCCTTCGTCCGCCGTGGTTTTGCGTTACACATCGACACGAACAACGCCGGAAATCGAAACGATGAGAAGTTCAGCCGACTTACAGCCAAACATCGGGTGGAAGACGAAATGTCTAGTGCGTTCAACAGCAGCGATAGTTGTTCCTCTTTCAACGACGGTCCTGTGGACATTCCAAGAGGTGAAACTGGGCTCAGAGGATTCGAGCTTCTCTTGCCGAGCAAACGTTTGCGTGAACGCGGATTTAACACCAGAAACTGGCCCACGGATGCCAAGATCTTTGTACAGCATCCGTCCCTTTCCTCGCGATCGCTGAAGCATATGAATATCGTTCTTAAACCCGCCTCGAGCTGTACAACATATGGCTTCACCGACGCTCCGATCTCGTTAAGCGAGCAACGAATCAACGTCTCAGTGTACATTACAGCCTCGTGGTCGGGGGAATCATTATCTGGCGCGTAGGTGTAAAGATCGAACCCGTTTTCGTGGAGAACCACCGACACTGATTTTGGAACCTCTTGCAAGTTTTTCAAATCTTTCAAAAGGTACGCTTCGCCGGGCAACCTTTCGTTCGTTCGCGCCGTTGTTTTGTTGTGAAGCTGTGTCATTTTGCGTCCAGTTTCGGACGGTTACGTTATCGCCTCGTGCGCTTTCTTCGCTAGCTTGTCTATACCGAACGTTTCCGATTCACTCACGGCCTTTTATCTATGACTTGTGACGATACGACGCCGCTCGTTGTGACGTCACCGTATGAGCAGAAGGTGCTGTGACGTCATGTTTTGTCGAAAAACAGTTAGACGCGCTCTCCGTTACTTCTTCCGTAGTTTCGCATTGGTGTCTTGCGAACACGTTTTCAAACCTTCTCGTTTGGAGATTTTTCTGACGGCCGAAATTCGCTTCGAGTTGGATGTGCAAGATGCCGGGTGTTATGTAATGAGAACTTTCGCTATAGCGAAACTTCATGCAAATCCGGCGAGGAATATTCGAGCAGATTTTTGCAGCTTAGAGCGGCGAAACAATAGCTTTTCAACAGATATTGCGCATATTACAAGTCATTATAAATTGTGGTCGGACGTGTGTGTGTGATATCGCCCAGTCATTTACTTAGCTGTAAGCTGAATTAATAAGCTGTCGGACATCGGCACTTTTCGACACCAGCCGTCAGCACACGTTGTTGTTATTGAAATGAATTTATGCAATTCTTTTATGAATGATTACTGCAATTTCGTTCGTCAATGATCACCGTCAAAGCTTGCCTGTTTGCGTCTGTAAACAAATCTATGACAATTTTAACAGTCGGTCGGATCCTAAGGTTTCTTTTCTGCTGATCTTCACTATGTTTCAAAACCATTCCTTTTTAACTTAGTCTTAGAGAAGTGAATCTGCACAGCCTGCTTTGTGCAAAAAAGGTTGTAGTGAATTATTACATTTGCGTGTTTTGGCGTGACAAAAAAAGGGAAATATTTTAATTTAGAGCATCAACTTCAGCTATGGGAAGTGCGTTATCTTGTATTACTTTATTACTGTCAGATCAGGCTGGTATTGATCTGGTTTGAGATGAATGATTGCCAGAATGACTCGGCAAAATGACCGTAATCATAAATTCATCGAATCAGAAAAACATTCATAATCGCGCCTTATCAAAACTGTTGAGTCTTCATGAGCAGATAAATTAAATTTAAATACGACAATAACAATATTCTCATTAGACGAGCGAAAAACATCGACCCCTAATTTGCATTTCTAGGAGAGCGATAATAGTGTTTTGGCCTGTTTGAGCGAAAAAAAAACAACAGCTGAATTTCTGTTGAATTAAGGCAAATGATTTTTAAAAGCATGACTATATACGGTAACTTCAGGAAACTTCCATATCTTAGATTTAAAACGTGTACTTATACTTTAAACGTGTACGAGCGATCCCGTCTTACGATTATTTGGACAGGTGGAGCCGTCAAAAACATTGAATAATGTTATTCACGATTAAACACAGGAGGTGACTGACTGATACCCCTGTTGCCGCGCTTGATATTTTTACCCAGGCGCTTACACAGAGCGCTTTCCAACTGTGAATTGTGAAAGCCGTAGCGCAGTTCCGAGGGACACAGTAGAATCTCTAAGAATTTCAAAATTTCTGAGTATACGGTTTTTCCATGAAACAAATTACTGTGACAAATTGCGGTAAGTTTGAAGGGTTCAAGTGACACCTCGAAATGTCACAGTGTTTTTTATGAATTTATCTTTGAGCGACGTCACATCCGGTTGGCTTTGAGGGTCAAATTGAAAAAAAACGATCTTGATCGATCTTGATGCAGATTTTTAACCGCAAATATTAAGTACAAGTATTATATATGCATTTAGATAACTTCCTAAGGCTTTGAGGTAGTTTTGTAGATAATGTGATATATTGTACTAACTGTTGTCAAGCTGAGCGATAAATACGCGTGGAAATACGTATACAACTTCGCGGTGATGGTAAAGGCCATCGGTATCCGGTAGACAACAAATTCAGTGAATTTGCCGATGTTTGCTGCAAATAAAGAACGAAATTGACAAAAGAGAACAACTTTGTAAGAAGATTGCTTCCTTTAAAGCCCGAATTTATTTGTTCTCTCGAGTTAAAAATCAATACTTTTTCTTTAAATGATATTTAAAATAATATTGAATAAAATCATTACTTTCTTTAAAATTCCTCTCTAATGTCCTCAAAATGAAATCGCTCGTTTGAAAAAATCGTAAACTGAGTGCGCTAAAACTATCCCCAATGACACAAACCCCTGATAGGCAAAGCCGGTGTAAGTCAAGCACATTTCAAGATATTTACGTCGGGCATCCAGACGTTATATAGGTGAGTCTTTTTGATGATGTCTGATGGCCTATCAGCCAAAGCGAGAAATTTGTCAGGTATGAAAATATATCTGGCTGTCTGCTGCGGCTAACGATGTAGTATGCACGATGCAGATTAATTTATGACTGAGACTCTATGCCTCTATCCTTGAAAGATTTCAATCACAAATTCAAAGTAATCGGGTTATTTACTTACGCGTACGTTTAAACAAGTTCATGGGCACCAAGAAACGTGCAGTTGAATAATTAAACAAGACCGCGCTGGAACTTGCTAGAAATGCTTAGAAAATTAAACCGGTTTTCTCAGAAAGACTTAGTGCGATAGTGAATTTCGTTACTGCTAAACAGATATGAGATATCTTAGTGAAGATTTAAACTAGAAAATCGCATGGCGCGCAAGCTTATAATATGTATGTGTTTTGGGAAATGCCAGAAAATTGTTGTGAATAATTTAACATTATTTTGTGTAACGTCATAATTGCGTAGCTGACAGCCTGACACCTTCAAGAGTTGTGAATTTCGGTGAGCAATTAACGTCCCCGTGTAATTTTTACCACTTGAAGCTGTCGAGACAAATTAATTTATGTGATGTGTAAAATGCATAAGAAAATTTCTCGACTTTTCGAATTTTTTCTATGCTTTATTAAAACACTCGTGATGAGGACGCTCTTACTTCGACAAGCTGTTCCATGAGGCCACAGGGTTCCGACAATATTCTCAAAACATCCCCGCCAGGGACCTGTTAATTTATTGTAGGAAATGGCTGTGGCTGAATTTTGAATTCGTAGCTAAATTCATGTTTAGCCTATTGGAATCATATATGATGTGATTAATTTCAGGAGGTTTTCGAAGTTAACTACGATTAAATGCATACAAAAAAAGGCTGGCGATCACTATGCAAGAAGCAATCAAGCAACGTATCTGGCACATTGGTCAAGCATGCTTGTGCCAATGACTTTTGCCATTCTTGCCCTCTGTTCTTGTCACGCGTAGAGCAAATATCAGGCACGTTTAATAATTTCTGCCTCGCGTGCCAAAGCCCTTCTGTGTCGTGTGACAAAAGCTGTTAAAAGACTCATCCTGTAAACAATGGTTGGTACTCATCTACCTCCTCCGCAGGCGCTAAGGAGCATTTCGGGCGATTTCGGAAAACGCGGGTTACCAACGAGAGCGGTCTCTCGCTTTCGTTTCTAAATTTCTACGCGCAAAATATCCCGGAAAAGGGCCTGCGGAGGAGGTAGCCAACCTATTGAACTCACTGAACCATTTGTACCACAATCGATCACGATTACGCAAAGATTCCCGGCAAACCTAAAAGGCCATATTTGATGCGACCGATTTATGCTCCTTGCTACATAAAGTATATCACTTCAATGTTCAATTCTCCGCTGTTGAGCCATCTCCACACGATCACATCCGTCAAAATCCGAACGAAGATTAAAATAAAAAAGAACAAAGAAGCAGTCACATCGGACCTCATTTTTCTCCCAGAATCGGCTGTGAAAAGCTTTAAAAACTTTTGACCGCATGGAAGGCATTCTTTATCCCAATACACGGCGTGATCCAGCGATAATCGATGAATATCATGGCCAGAAAATAGCAGATCCTTATGCTTGGCTTGAAGACCCAGACGCACCAGAAACCAAACAGTTTGTTAACGATCAAAACAAAATTACGGAGCCGTACTTGGAGAAATGCGAGTTCAAGGAAAAGTTTAGAAAAAGGTCGGTTACTGCGTGTCCTAATGTATAGTTATTGTACTTGATAGATCATTTCGATATAAAGAATGTATTAAATTCACTAATTGTACATTTGTTTGTACAATCACATGATTTTGTGAAATTAGGACAGGTGAATATTTAGTCAAAGGTATAAAATATGAAACTTATAAAACTAGCTGTTCTGCTTATATAAGATGAAAAATCTTGTGTTGTACTGTTTCGATACAAGTTTCTAGTCTTACCCATATGGTGTTAACTTAAGCTCCACTAGTTTCATTCTTGTTTCAAAAGTATCATGACTAGGGTTCAGAGTCGTTTAAGCCTCTTAAAACCAATAATAAACACTGGTGGTTGGATAAGTCCAAGATATTGCTCAAATACTTTTATTGAAGCTAAAAATACTTCAACAAATATATATTAACATGTTCTTACATGCTATGAAACAATATAATGTCTAATTGTAAGAACTCCCCCCCCCCCTCTGACTCATTTGAAACTGAGATCTAATAAATATTACTTTGTTATTCTGTTTTGGTAAGTGATAACTGTATGTGCGGTTAACCAGTGCAGCCGAATGGTCAAGTAGTTATATCATACCTACAGTAAAATGTGGTGCATACTCTCATATATTACCTGTTGTCTCTGCTATTGCTCTCTGTCATTGAAAAAATGACCATACTTTACCAGCCTTGTATTGCCTTTGCCATGAGTTATGTTCAGGGAAGCATCAATCTTTACTATGATGATATTCATGTATATTTGTAGTAAAGTACCCCAATACAAATTCACTTGACCTAACTAGTCTAAATTAGAATGAACTTATACCTAAATGTTCAAAATAACCCGTATTTTAATTAATTTATGGTCCTTCCTCACGCGAAACGCACGTATTCACATTTTTCCCACGAAGAACATTCTTTTTTCTCAAAGACGTTCTTTTCCCACGAAAAACGTTCTTTTCACATGCTAATGGTTCTAATTGATTTTTCCCACGCTTGCTACAATTTTGTTACATTTTTTTGGAACGTTCATCTTTGTTACATTTTGGAATGTTCCACGCGGGAAATTGTTACATTGTTTTATTCTAAAGAACAAATCTGAGTTTTAGAATGTTTTTTCCGTCGCCAGTGTGCCGGTGCATGTAATATTGTTAATTTTTATTATCATGGAGATAAAGAAAGCTTTTCAGAAAGAAATACGTACCGCTTTCTTCGTTGGTGTACCACACTACTGTTAACATCAGATATTTTGAATTTATATCTTAAATATTTATGACTTTCGAGGCCGATCGAGAAGTTTACCTAATTCAAATCTATTTGAAATGAGGTTAATTTTGTCAACTTCCGGGAGGGAAGAGCATGTAATGATACATTGAAAGAAACCATAGATTAAAACCTAAAGCTATAGGCTCGCACTAGCGAGGTTTCGAACAGCCGTCCCTGGGCAACTTTTTGAGAAAATCTTCAGAAACTATACCAATAACGTAAAACCCCGTGGCATATACTGAATGCGGAGTGATGCGTGGTATTAAAAACTAAATATCTCAAATTCTGACCTTTTCAGAATGACCGAACTCTGGGACTATCCCAAGTATGGCTGTCCATTTAAACGAGGCGATATGTATTACTATTTTTATAATAGTGGATTACAGAATCAAAGGTAAAGTGAATTGAGATTTTGAACAAGATTGGTTATAATCTATAATCCTTAATTCAGGGTTAGCAGTTGGGTAAGGATTAGGGTCAGGTTTCGGATTATAGTTAACTGTTAAGGTTATATTGATGAATTCGGCACGGCTGGAATTACTAGGAGATGTTTTATGTTAATGTAGAAGAAGAACGCAGCGATAATGGATGTGAGAGATTGTAAGGCAAATTTAAATGAAAATTTTCACCTATTCCAGCGTGTTGTACTGCAAGGCGACTCTAGATGGTGAAGCACAAGTATTTTTGGATCCAAATGCTCTCTCGGAAGAGGGAAATATATCTATGAGGGGTTATGCCTTTTCCGAAGATGGTAAACTATTCGCTTATGGTCTGAGCGAAAGTGGCTCTGACTGGGTTACAATATACGTGAGTTATACTCATTACAGTTGATATTCAATTTCTTATAAAGTAATTACCTATAATTTGAAATGTTTTTCATATTGCTTCTTTTTAGTTCAAAACAACAGGTTTTGATGGCAAAGATTTGCCGGATGTTCTAAAACAAGTGAAATTTACCAGCATGGACTGGACACATGATCACAAAGGCATCTTCTACAATGTAAACTATCGTTTTCTCATAACTTGTGGTGGCAAATCCTTGGTTTCTGCAAAGTCGGTCCATAGCTACCAGAGGTTGTACTTTTACCTTGGTTAAAATAATTTGTATCGTTCTTCTTTCTTCTTAGAGATATCCAAAGACTTCTGACAAAAGCGATGGGACGGAAACTGACTTAAACTTAAACCAAAAGGTTGATAAATACATTTCTGTCACCTGAATATGAGCTCCTTGTTCACACTGTGATATTTTGTCCGATTCAATTCACTTCTAACGTATGAAATATAGTCTGTTAGTTGATAAAGCCGTACCTAACTTGTTTCCATTGATTTGCTGCATTTATACATTTCAATTCAATGGACTAGAAAACATCCTTAAAATGAATTGGTTCGAAAAAATTGGAATGTCGGAGCAGACTTTTAAAACATCAACAAGCAGTTCCCTACCACTGGCAATTGAGATTTTGCATTAGACGGTTTTAAAAGTAGGACCGTGAGACTAATGATGCCAGTTGTTGGGTTAAAAAGAAACATCGGCAAATATGGGAGGCATGTTTGATTGAATTAAGTAAATAGGGAATATGGCAAACTCTTTGATTTTGTATAATAATTTCAGCTCTACTACCACGTATTGGGAACGGAACAAGAAGAGGATGTTTTGTGTTGCGAATTTCCGGACAATCCAAAGTGGATGACGTATGAAATCTATTAAATCTTTTATATATTTGATTAAAGAAACAATTTTAGTAGTAACAGTAACACTCCCAAAGTGGTAATAACAGTAACACTCCCAAAGTAGCAGTAACAGTAACACTCCCAAAAAAGGAACTTAGAATATGAAAGATTCACAGTTATTTTGTTTAGCCAAATCTGATCGAAATCTTTTTTTGTTTCAGTGGCGCGGAAGTGAGTGATTGCGGACGTTATGTAATCATTACGATACGGCAAGGATGCGATCCCGTCAATAAATTGTACTTTTGCGATATGGAAACTTTGAAAGAAGGGATAAAAGGTTTGTTGTGCGGTTTGCTTTGTTTTAGCTTGTAGTAATAAAAAAATGCTTCCAGAAGTTTCATGTGTCAGTGTATTGAAGTGGCACAGTAGTTCAGTTTATTGGCAAATCTTGAGAAATTGTGTTGTAATTTTAAGTAAAACAGAAAAGTGTTTTAGAAAGATCCAAATCATCTGCTAATGCAATTAAATGTAAACACAATTGATAGAAAGGAAGTCTTTTAATACTAGTGAAATGAGTTTTTTGGTTTCATTTTAGGACCGCTACCTTACGTAAAAATTGTGGATAATTTTGACGCGGAATACGAGGTAAATTTCTGAGGTTTTTTAAAAGAACTGTTTAACTGTTTTGTGTCCACAGCATACTGTAGCGCTAGCCGTAAGAGTTTAAAAATGAAGTGCTCATTGTGAGAGGGTTTGACACGTGATGAAATCCATCTTGGCTCGTGATTGGCTAATCTGACAGACTCGATGGATTTGATTGGTTATGTTCCCTCAATGGTAGCCGGTAGTGATAGTTGAAGTCAAATCTGAACTTCGCCATAATTTGGTGAACTCTGGTCAACATTAGCCCATCATACGTTTATTAAGATTGCTTTATTTTTGTAGTATATCACCAATGAGGAATCTCTGTTTACATTCAAGACCAACTTGAACTGTCCGAATTACAAACTAATTAATATCGATTTTAACAAATTCGAAATGGTAAGTTGTGGAAAATGGTGGCGATTGACGGTGTGGATCCATTGTAGACGTTCAGGATCATCTGATCTATAGTGGGGCTTTATCTCGCGTATAGGAAAATTGGAGTACGCTCATTCCAGAGGATTCGAAGGACGTATTGGAGTGGGCCACTTGCGTGAAGAATGATGTGTTGGTACTCTGCTATCTACACGATGTGAAGGTGGGTTGTTGTAGTAGTGGATTTCAGCGCGTACTACTCTGTTGTCATCAGCTCAACAACCTTTAGCAGGCCCAGTAATTCCAGTCCGATAATTTCAAATATAAATTAAACGAGGTTTCTTAGTTTCTGTCGCAATTCTTCAAGCAGTTTTCACATAATCAGCCAAGGGAATTTCAGTGAAATTAAAGTGCCCAGCAATTATAGAAACTTTGTTTTCGGCTCGACAATAGTTTTTGAAACAATTATACATAGATGTCAACAAAGAAATCATGTTCTCCTCTTCATTCCAGAACGTGTTGTACCTGAATCGATTATCAGACGGTTCAAGGATAAGGGAGCTTCCTTTAGACATTGGCAGCATCGTTGGCTTTTCTGGCAAGAAAAAACAAACAGAAGTGGGTATTCAAATTCAGTGTGATATTATTTTACGATTCCGCGCTTTTTTGACAAAGAAAAAGCCTCGAACATTATTATAAAAGTAATAGACTCGATGCTCTCAGGTAGAGATCTGTTGATAAGGCCTTCCCTTCAACTTATATCGTTGTACTGACTTGTATCATTTTCATTTTTTTTTCAAGATATTTTATCAATTCACAAGCTTTTTGACTCCTGGTATTATTTACCACTGCGATTTATCACGAGACGACTCGCTTCCAAAGGTAAAATTGCATCATGCATGTATAATAAATAAACGTAAAATCCAGTCAAAAAGATTCCATATTCTTGAAGACTGTATACTTATATTTTGTATATTCAATAGGTTTTTTATGAAACTGTAGTTGAGGGATTTGATGCTTCTTTGTATGAAACGGTTCAAGTTTTCTTTGACAGCAAAGATGGGACTAAAATTCCTATGTTTATAGTTCATATGAAGGTAGGACATATACGCAATGATAAATTTTCATGTAAGCCTAGTGTTGTGCGAGGATATTAATTTGTAAAGGCCGTTTCAGACGTTAAACTTTTCATGTGCCGAATTGAATGCAAATAGTTTGTTAATTAACTAATATTATGTTTGACATATGAAAAGTTCCAATATAACCAAGGAGCAGCGTGGCAGCGTCTTCAAACAATTTAGCATCAAATGTGGTATAACAACTGCCTAAAATAGACAAAACACTTCTCGACGTTTCGACCTGAGGGCCTTCGTCAGGAGAGTTAGTATGACGACTCTCCTGACTAAGGCCCTCAGGTGGAAACGTCGAGAAGTGTTTTGTCTATTTTAGGCAGTTGTTATACCACATTTGATGCTAAGTTATATGAAAATTTCGTCGTCTGAAACATGCAGGTTTAACGTACATTGATTTAAATATTTTTTACAGGGTATAACCTTAGATGGCTCCCATCCAGTGTATTTATACGGTTACGGTGGCTTCAATATTTCTATTACACCAAGTTTCAGCGTGTCCAGACTCATCTTTATCAGCCACCTCAGCGGGATATTGGCAGTACCAAACCTTCGTGGGGGTGGGTAAGTGGAACTCTCACAATGACTTGGAATACCACCTGTTCGTAGGCTAGAGCTATACGATGCATACCCAAGCTAGTCCTCTCGTCGTGGTTCGGGCAGAGTTATATTTTTTTATTATTATCTTCCAGTGAATATGGCGAGAGGTGGCATAAAGGTGGAATGCTTGCCAACAAGCAGAATGTGTTTGATGACTTTCAATGCGCAGCGGAATATCTTATCTCAAAAGGATACACGAAGCCTGAACGGTAAGTCAAAAAATAGCCCGGCATTTTTGTCGTCTGGGGCCGGTTGTATAAAACTCTTTAACTGCACGTTGCATAGGTAAATCCTTGTTAACTCAGAAATACACAACTCTGATTGGCCAAGCCTGTGCTTAACTACAGTTAAAAGTTAGCTAGTCTCTTATCTTTTGATCCAGTTTTTCCACTGATTGAAGCTGGATTTCCCAAGGAATAATTAAAGCTTTCAAAACTGATTTTTCAGAATCACCCTGTAGTTTTACAAGGGTGCACACCCCTTAAAGCCCCCTCCCAAAGCCACTCATAGCGAAATGGGAGTTACAAACTGTCTCACACGAGAAAAGATGTTTTATTATACTGTAAGAATCCAGTCCACAGGTTAAAAAATAATGAAATTTATTTTCCTTTTCATGTCATGTTTCCTATCTAGGCTTGCAATCAACGGCGCTTCGAATGGCGGGCTGTTAGTTGGCGCATGCGTTAATCAACGACCAGATTTATACAAGTGTGCTGTTGCACAAGTTGGGTAAGACGAAAACATCCTGTTCACGATCGACTACTGTAGAGACGCGATATTCATGATACATTTTAAGGCCCGCAATAAATAAATATCTTTGTTATCTATTTTAGTGTTATGGATATGCTGAAGTTTCATAAATTCACTATCGGACATGCGTGGTATTTGTCGTTTTATTCCTACTGTATGGCTCAAAGAAATTATTTCTTCAATTTATTCTTCAAAGATTATAATCTGCAATGATTATTTACAATATAATTCATTCTCTAAAGGGTGACAGACTTTGGAAGCTCCTCAGAAAAGGAGCAGTTTGAATGGTTGATAAAGTAAGTGCTTCTCGCAACAATTCTTTGTGTGTCAAGCCTTTGCCCAGACGGGCATATTTCTTTTCAGTCAAATAATTTCTTATCCAGTCTATTTCTCGTGTGTACAACAAACATTTTGTGTTGGTCGGCCGTAACTGTGACTAAAAAAAGTTTTTCCTTTTTCAAAAGGCGTGCACGCATCATAATGCTCTCTATGAAAACATAAATGGAATTATCTTTTCGCATTCAGCGATTAATACATGTTTACAAATGTCTCATTGCAGATACTCACCACTGCATAACATCAAGATACCAGATAGTGGTGTCCAGTACCCCTCGGTTTTGTTGATGACAGCTGACCACGACGACCGCGTAGTACCGTTACATTCACTCAAATACATCGCGCAACTTCAGCATGTTTTAGGAAAGTACGAAAAACAAGTAAGAAGTGTTAATAGTACGAAGACCTCTCCCTTGACATGTGTCGGTCATTGCTACTGGACTAATATACTAATATATACAGGTCAGTGGCCATTACCCAATAACTATATGAATATTTCTCGATTTAGACCAATCCACTGCTGATCTTAGTTGATACAAAAGCAGGACACGGAGCTGGAAAACCAACATCCAAAAGAGTAAGAAAAATATGATTAATGGTATACTGATTTAGGATTACATTTAATCTAAGATTATGTTTAATCCACGTGGATTAACTCTTCATTTCTATATCTTCTTCACTAGATTGACGATGTCGCAAATATGTTTGCTTTTATTGCGAAGAATATGAACATTACAAAATGGTTGGAGAAATCTGTGAACGCCTGAAGGCTAATCGGTAAATACTTGCACGTTTTTTTCGTTCTGATAATGCACTTCGCGTCTTTTACCATCGTAAAGACTGGCTGGCATGGCTCTCATTTACGACATATGCCAGCCGTATTTGTGCAAATATGAAATGAAGAGCTGAGACTTTTAACCAATCTTTTTCTCTTCAAACTTATTATACTTTATGTGATTGCTATATTTCTTTGAATGAACTTGTTCTTTCTTTCTATGTACAAAACGCTTCATTTCGCCCAAGTCCTTCGCGAGCCTGGCCGTGTGTCTTCTGTGATAACGCGAGCCCTTGCCTATTCCTTGCATTCTATTGTCCCTGCGTTTTTTGATATGTTTTTCCCCTTGCTTAATCCCAGACTTGTTGAAATGTTTTCCCCGTTGTCTGTGAATGTTGTGTGGACGTTTTGCGTGTTTGTGATGCCTGAATTTGCGACTGTGCCTATATTTGTGCAAGACAACATGGCTTGCATGTTTATTTGAATGTTTTGTGAAAACATCGCTGTCTTTGTTTAGATGCTTTTCTTCATGGCCTTGTTTTTTGACTGGATGTTTCCTGTAGTGCTTCTCGCGGCCGACGGTTCCGTGTCTTGCCGAATTCTTCCGATCGTGACGCCCTCGGTGGGCATGTTTCATTAGGAATATCATGGCACATTGTGCCTTGGTGTGGGACCTCCGGCAATGCCAATATTTCGACAAGCTCTTCGAAGTATCTGTAGGTATTGATAGATAGGATGTTATAAAAAGATTAAGATATACCAAACATGCTGTCCTGCGTAAATATAGGATTCTATTTTAATGTATACGCCGCGAAAGGCTGTCGTAGTTTGTGTATGAACTGCCTCAGAAAGATATCTCAAACGTGGTGGTCCAGTGTAGGTAGAATTCTACAATATGCTGTTGTGGTTTGTGTCTGAACTACCTGAGAAAGATAGCTCAAAGGTGGTGGTCTCCTCCTGAAAATCTATTTGACATAATCCGTATGTCATTAGAATGTGTAACTTACTATTCCGAAATGTCTTGTTTACATTCAAGTCATTCTCAAAGGCTCCTTTGTGGCCAGACACATGTGTCTCTGGTTCTGGACGAAGTTTCTTCGTCTGAAGAGATTTTCCAACTAATTTCAGTTGACCTGATTCAACACTGCTTTCATTCCGAGCAGTGATAGCTTCCTCGATCTTGTTTATATCTGATAAAAATATGAAAAATAGCTGCTAAGATAGGATCATTTCGTTAACTCAAAGCCACTTATGCAACAACTTGAGTTGGTCAGTGTAATCTTCGCTCTTTCATCCGTAAACAGACACCTCAAGCTCTGGGGCCGGTTTTTCGAAACGTGGATAAAGTTATCCTCGGATAATGATTATTTCGAACGTTAAAACAATCCTCACCACTTGGCATGGACAAGATTTAACTTTTAACGATTATAAATTTAATATAAGTAGCTTTATCGGTTGAAAAAGTCACTATCCAGTGGAACTTTATCCACCTTTCGAACAACCGACCCCTGGACGAAAAAGACCGAACTTTAAGACCCTAACCATTGCATGATAATAACAAGGAAGAATTTCGTTTTAAGATTTGCTGATATGAAGACTTGTTATTTATTATACAGAAGTAAAATATCGTAGTCTGCTCTTTCCTAGCCTGGGTTGCAGCCGCTTACGTGATACAAGTGACTGCAACTCAGGCTAGCTCTTTCCTTGTGCTTCATCGCTCTTACCTCGACTTAGTTTAGCCAAAAGCCTTAAGACTTTCGATCCTTTGACACAATTCGACTTCGCGTCCAGTTTTTGCTGGGCATTCAACTTCGTCTCGTTCTCAGGATTAAAGGCAACTGGAGCTGATTCGATCTTAACTCCATCATGCAACTTCTTTGAATTCTGTTCAACTTTTTCATCAAGTAGTTTAACTCCCAGTTTGTATAAAGCCGGGTTATCTTTTAACGTTTCTTTCTTGATAACAAAGCCATAATTTACTGGAACCAGTCGTGATTTGTAAACAATCGTCGTTGATTTATACGGCACGAAAACTCCCCCGTCAACGATTGAATTTCGCTTTTCTATTTCATTGTTGTTTGTCTCGGCCAAGCCGATGAAATTGTCAATAATGTCTACTGATTTTGGCCGGTTGTTGCTCGAGACGACACAAAACAAATCGACAAGACATAACAGGAGTATTGTCAGAATTTCGGTTAGGCAAAGTTTCATGGTAAACGTCCTCTGCCCTTTGTGATTTTATTAACTTTTTCGACACTTTTTAACCGCGTAAAGAAGTCGATATTTTTGTTCATCTCCTCTCTTTGTTTATGAGATTAACAGGTGAATGCGTAGAGATTTTTAAATACTGTAACCTGCTATGGTTGAATAGTCTCGCCTGCAGCCAGTAAGGTGTTTTTTTGAACGTGTTTTGTCGTGTTTTATGTCTGAACTACCTGAGAAAGATATCTCAAACGTGGTGGTCTAGTGTAGGTAGTATTCTACAATAAGCTGTCGTGGTTTATGTCTGAACTACCTGAGAAAGATATCTCAAACGTAGTTGTCCAGTAAAGGTAGCATCCATAAAACTGTCTTAAAATAAAATTCATTTTAATATTTCAAAGAACTATTCTAAATTTTTCTAAAGATATTTGATACAATAATAGTTCATATTCCATGCATTTTAATTGCAATGCACGCATTAGCATGCTTCGTCCATTTTGTTTTCATTTCATACCAATATATAAATTATTGTTTTTCATAGACCGTGGACATAGAATTCTAGGATTCTACGAACACTTTGCGGCCCTGAAATCCGCTGGTTTTGGATAGCAAAACAATTTATTATCGTTAACTTTTGCTTTATAGAATGCAAATATAGAAATATAACTTTAATAAATCGTAAATAATTATTTTGCCATTCAAAATTGGTGGATTGTTCAGGTCTTGGTCGAGCATAACTTAAGTTTTTTCTGGAAAATTTTTAGTCTATCATTTTTAGTAAGGTCATGATTATATCATCTGTCTTTCAAAAGTATAGTTCGAGCCACTATAGCACCCCTTTGCCTTCAAGGTAATTAAGTATACTTTGAATGCTTTGTATGGCTGATTTTCGCGCCACGCGGACTTCTTCGTAACCATCGATTGTGATTTTATCCAGTTCAAGAATGTATCCTGTTAAGGTACCGTCCAGGTACACGTATTCTTTCGTAGCTACAAAGAATGAAACGAACCACGGTGTTAGTATGTCGAAGAGCAGAATTTGACTGCTGATACATTTGGAAGATGAAAATGCAGAGTGAAACACTATACAATGTAGAATGCAAAGATGAAAATGCAGAGTAAAACACTATGCCTTTCACGAGGGGAAGCCTTTTCTATGGGAGATTGAAACGCGAGTGAAATCAGTGACTTTTGAAAAGACACCAACAAGCCGATGGAAACTGGTTGACAAGTTGGGAACGAGAAGGGATATGACAAGGTGTTAAGATGCTGTCAGTGGGATAAATCTAATTCAGGTTTGTAACTGTTTGTGTTTATATTGGCTGTGGGGGGAAGTCATTTTAACCCAGCGAGTTCGCAGTTTTCACCTCCAGAGCCGCTTAATCTAACTGTTAGAAGTGCCTGTTTGCATTTGCAACTTCTCTTCTGATATTTGCTTTTGATAGATGCAAACGAGTGAATAAGACACGGATGTTCATCATATAAGTACATTTATACGTCAGAGAATCTTTAACTATTCACTCGTTTGCATCTTGCAAAAGAAGAATATCGCTAGAAAAAATTGCAAGTGTAAACTTTTGAAATGCAGAGGTTTCTATACTGTCTGTAGCGTGCTTTCTTTAAACAGAAATTTTAATGCAAACCTCGTTTTCCCCTAAACTGTTCAACCTGAGGTATCAGCATTGAGGTCTGTTGTAGAATCCTGTTGATATTTTTTATATGAACATCAGAGGGTGCCCCCCTCATTGGGAAACTGGGTAAGGGGGGCAACGTCTCTTGCATCAGCTGAATCCCCTGCCCATATTCACTTCTTGCTGTATTATTAGCCATGTAGGGGTTATGATAGGACATTGAGGGGGTATTTGGGTGTACCTGGGATGAATTTGGATAGCTTTGGGGTGCACCTTGGTAGTTAGGGGTATATGGTTGTCTTGGTGCCTGGCCAGATTGTGGGGGGATCCAGCCTTGGGGTTGGTTATATGGGTTTCCCCCTTGATTGGTCATTTGACCAGGTTGAAATGATGGTTGTGATGAGTTTGCTATGCTTCCTATAGGTTGCTGGTTACCCATGCCAGGTTGGTTCTGCATAGGGTCACCTCTTGGTACCTGCATCATACCACTTTGAGGTGTTCTGTAACCTTGGACCATCGGATTTGGCGTACCATATTGTTCGGGCTGACTGTGCTTAGGATATGACGCAAGTCCTTGGGATCCAGGCGATGGTTGGGTGCCCATGGGAGGTTGGTAGTTCTGGGTCTGCCCAGCAAACATGTGTTGCTGATGAGGATAACCCTGCATGCCGTATGGTTGGCTTGTAGGCTTGTTTTGTAAATTAACATCCTGTGCTGGTTGTTTCATTTCGGTTGGTGGTGGGGTGTTATGGTACCCACCCCAAGGTACGGTTTGCTGTCCTGGTCCAGTTGGCCATGGTTGATTTGGGGCAGTTTGGATGTTACCTTGAAGGTTGGGTTGGGCATTCGTGTGCTGGTATGCTGTCACCATTGGCTGTGGTGATTGCATTGCAGACACAGGGTGGGATGGTAGATTTTGCTGGGGCTGCATTGGTACTTGTTGCATACCATGCTGGTGTTGAGTACCTACGGGTCTTTGAGGTGCCATTTGTTGGGGTGGGATCATTGGTCTGGGTTTTCCTATCTGCATGTTTGGTACTCCCTGAGGTGGTACAACATTCTGAGTTGGTGTTGTAACCATACCCTGGGGTGATGACGAGAATTGCTGAGGTGCCCCCATTGCAGGTCTTGGCTGTTGAAATTGCGGTTGCCCGGCGAGATGTGGCAACTGCGGTTGCAATTGTTGTGGTCCTTGTTGTGGTATTTGTTGCTGTTGCGGTATGTAGGTTTGTTGTTGTGGCACAGTGTTTGGCGCAGACATGGGTACACTTTGATTGTATCCAGTTGAATAAGTGTTCGCCGGTTGCAGAGTGCCCGCATACTGGCCAGCCATCTGCGGCACAGGCCCACCGCCGGTTGAACTAGGTAGGTTATTTGGATAAGATCCAGGCATTGTCCTGCTCTGTTGGTTATCCGAGTATGGTGCATTGTAGTTTACCTGATGGTGCTGCTGACTCTGGCCAGTTACCATTGAGGGTTGTTGATTTCCTGTCCAGGTCATTTCGTGCTTGCTCATTGAGGTGGGAAAATTCTGTCCAGAAACATTCTGTTGTCCAGAGTTTTGTCTGTAATAGCCATCAGGAATTGAAGGTTTCTCGTCATTTCTCTGCGGCAACTGCAAACCTTCCAGAGATTGGGTTAGTTCCTGCGTGGAAGGGTATAGCGACGGCTTAGACCACTGTGGTTGCTTTCCATGGCTGTAGGGCTCTGAACTAGACACAGGCATTCCCTGAATGACAAATGATTGCTTATTGACACATTGAAGTTTCTTGTATTATAATATTTGACACATTGAAGTTTCTTATATTATAATATTTGTCAATTTGTGTGTAGAATGTAATACAATGCCAGATGATTTCACTCGTAATGAGGACCGAATTTTAACGCAATGGATTGCTTATTATAGTAACGACACGGGGGGTTTACTTTGTCAAAGTAATATACAGTATATATTATATAATATTTATCAAATTATTTTCTCAATATCAACACGGATTTCTTCGGCCAAATATCTGGGGCAGTTTTTTTTCGATACGGAGTACAATACAATCACAATGTACTCTACAAATAAAACTCGTTTTGTACTTTGAGATCACGATAATTATCGCTACGATTGTAAAAACTATACCGCATTTTGATTGCCGATGTTACTGATACGTGGATCTTGCCAAGTTGTCACCCTGTTACGATGATCAATGAAAAACGGTTTGCCATTAGACGGGTCAATTTTCATCTCCCAAAACTCCGGTAAACCACTGGCCGACATCTTGTGAAGTATCGAGTATCTTTTCAGCCCAAAACCTTGCGATGTTATCGAAATTTAAACAAAAAACAACACAAAATAGAGTAAAATTTTGTAGGAGGAAAACACAACACTGATCTCGCGCGTTACGCTGGAGTGACTGGGTGTCGGGCACGTCTCGACAGGATTTCGGATTCTTTCGGATTTTTAAAGTATTGAATTTAAAAATTTAAATGCATGTCATGGCGGGAAAATTTTTTGGAACAAGAAATGGCAAAAATTGAGACAATTGGTTTGTTCCAATTAAAATGCGTCGAATGTTCGGTATGTTTGATTTACTCTTTTGTTTTGTAAATATTTACACTGTGATCGTCGGGAGTGTCTATTCATGTTTCAATGACTTTTTTCCAACTGTTCGTCAAGCTTTTAATAGGAACGAAATTATATACACGTGTGTTTTTAGCTAATTTTAAAGTACAGTTATAACGTTAATATGGCACGCTATAGCCAATATATATATTGTATTAAACATCTAAAGTCTAAACTCCGTGTAGGAATTGGCAAACTATACCAATAATCTACATGTAATCTACAGAGATTAGCTGCCCTGGAGTATGTTCAAAATTTTTAACTTAATATATTTAATATTCATCTTTCAATCTTCAGTCTGTTTTTGATAACTTGATTCAACAGTCTTTTTTATGCAGATATTCTTTGAGCATCCTTAATTCATAGCGAGGAACCATATTTTCCTTTGTTGTTCTTCCAGATCTTATTATATATGGTTTGTTTCTCAAAAGACAAGGGTTTACTCCCAACTTCCAAGGCATTGGATCACTTGTATTTACCCGGTTCTCGTGATGCAATCTTTCCATATTGTTGGTCTTTCTTTGTAGGCTATAAAATATTATTTCTGGCCTGAAAGCCTTGGCTTGGCTAAAGCCTTTTTAAGCTTATACAGTTTGACCATTCATGAACCATATTTTGGGGGGCTTCGTACTGGTGGTAATGGTGGGGTTGAATGCATCCTTGGCAGAGGTTGGCCTGCAGCCCCTGAGATAGGTGGTACAGGGGGGTTATGTTGTGGAGGAAGATGTTTTGGTGGGGGTTGCGTTGCTTGTTGTAGTCTTCTTGTAAGGTCCTCAATACGTATATCCTTGAGATGCAAAAGATGTTCCAGCCTTCTGACTTTCACCTGAAGAATCTATACATGCATGTAAAAGTATTTCAAAATCATATTTTCATTTCACCAATACATCTTGATTCACAAGGATCCAACAGTGACAAAAAAAACACATGAAATACAGTGGGGTTGTAAGCACCTGCACAGTTTCTTGTGAAGCTAGCAATGATTGTTCCTTCTCTTCAAGAAGAAGTTGAATATTTTGTGGACTACCCTTTGGCTGATGATGATTCTTTTCATGACGTTGTTGCCTTTCACAATAAATGAAAATGATTTAGAAGTAGTTTTGCTTGGCACATATCTGAAAGGGTTGATATACGGCATATTCATGTGTATAACTGCCACTTACCCAACATGAGATATTCGTTTCGCAAGTGATGGTTTACCCTCGTTAACAGCTTCTCTTTTATTGCCGACATTTGGTCCAGGTTTTGGCACATTACTTTGGTTAAACTCTGTATGCGAATGCAATTGGTTGTATGGTCCTGCTTGGTAATGCTAAAATAAACAGTAATGCTGTCAGGTCCAAGGATGTGGTTAGACCAAACGACATGAAAACAACAGCTTCAGACCATATTTAGGTGAAAAGTGTTTGGACACTAGCTACCTCTGGGTGGTTGGTATGCATAGCGTAAGAGCTCTCCACCATATCTTGTTGAGGAACTGTGTTGAACGCATCATACCCATAGCCAACACCTCCTGGTCAAAACAATCGGAAACCACATGGCTTCATTAGCATGGTGTTTTTGCCAAATAAATAATTCTTGCATCAAATCTAAGTATTTACCATTCATTTGCTGGTATGAATTAGTATCTGGTACTGGTGCAGGTGAAAACTCATCATAGACCTGATGGTGTTTCCTTAACGCAGCTGCTTTTCGTTTAGCTATGTATTTATCAATCTGAAAAAAAATATTCATTTGGTATTGGTTTAATGCCTTTGACAGTATTGAGTTCCAGTTATTTATCATAATAATCACTACCACGAACCTTATTTCTCAAGTTTATCAAAAACACTTCAATTGACCCTGACCGACATTTGCAAATACCGTCAATTAAGTCATCAGAAACTTTGAACTCTATTCTACTGAGTACTTTCCCTAAGAATTATAAACAAATAAACAATATAATGTTTTTATCTATACTTCATCAGACAGTGGCCTTCATGGATGATTGCAAAATATAAGGGCTAACTTATCACATGTGGACTTACTTTGCAAGGTGCCCCAGTTGTCTTTCTTCTGCGATATCGAGTTTGCACCAGAGTAGTTGTGTATCTCAACCAGCTTGGGTATAAAGTTATGCACAATCTCAGCCACTAAAACTAAAAAACAGATTCAAGCTCTCAATAACTTTAATGACTGGGAGAACTGATGCTGAGAGTGAAATTGTCTTGTGTGTAACCAAGGGAAGTATAAAACTTTGCATTTAAGTGCAATGCAATGTGATGGAAATGGCAAAAGTAACCAACATGACTAGCTGATAGTTTTTTAACTGGATCATCGCCAAATGCGATGCAATAGCTTAGACCTTTTAGTTTTAATACTTTAAAGAACTCATTAGGCTTTTTCAAAAATGTACAAACATGGAAAGAACATGGGAAGCAAGCAAGCAAGCAAGCAAGCAAGGGACCTGCTCTAGCCGACAACCATTTGTTTGCATAGTTGGTTATGTATCTACAGTTACAATGGATGATCTGACAATTGACCCATCTTTATAGATCTTGACCGATAATCCGTAAGACTTCAATTACATTGGTAGCGGTTGTGATTCGTGCTTTTAAAGGCCTTAATTCCGTAGAATAGTATCGTCTGCGAAACAGCAACCATTCGGTATAATATAAACTACCTCCATCGCTAAAATCTCGCGCGATATTGCGCTTGGGTCTGGATAAGGGAATCTCATCAATCCAAGTGTACAAAACTTGTAGCGTTTCGTCGTCTAAATCCTCCATGGGTTTTAAATCGTCGCCATTCTCCATGGCAAAATCCTTGTGAGGTACTTCTGCCCTGGATATCCTCGCCAAAACATCAAGATTTTAAGAAAACATCGTTGTAAATTGGGCTTTCGTTTGTCAACATTTGTGATTGATCGCCATCTTGACTTCGTTTTCAGCTGTCCGTTGCCATGGTAGCAAAGCTATTGATGTAATTTATGTGAAATTATGTCATAAATTAAAAAAGATGCGTGTCCTCCCACGAGGGATGGCCACGCGTGCAGCAAAATATCCACGAATGGCTCGGGATGGTCTCGCGCTAACTCATTCTTTGCAAGAAAATATAAATGGACATGATGGTTGTAAAAATATTTACAAATACACAAGATATTCGGCCGAGATTTGCATGCTCTTGCCGTGGTGATGAGCGAAGGTGATAGCCATGCTTTTGAAGCGATAAAAGATGTCGAAACAGGCACGACCAAACTTGCCTGGAATGGAAAAGATGGGACAGAAAAAGTCATTTGATCAAAACATCGACCAAGATTGGCAGCATTTTACAGCTGGGGCCGGCGCGAGTGCCATCAATATTCTGGCTACATATCCCATATTTAAAGTAACTTTTCGCCAGCAAATTGATGGATCGAGGTTACGCGTGGCTATGGCTCAGATTAGGAACGAAGGTTTTCGTTACCTGTACAGAGGCGTGCTCCCACCATTGTTACAAAAGGGTCTGTCGGTGTCTATCATGTTTGGACTTTATCACAGGTTTAAAAGAGATCTCAATCACACGTTTCCAAAAGTACCCACGCCGATTAACAACAGCGCTGCAGCAATTTTTGCAGGATCTGTCGAGGCGATCCTGACGCCGTTTGAACGAGTTCAGACTTTGCTCTCGCACAGGAAACACCACGATCGTTTCCTGAACACGTTTCACACTTTCCGAGAATTACGAGTGTATGGCTTCCAAGAGTACTATCGCGGTCTCACGGCAATCCTTCTACGAAACGGTCCATCGAATGCGATCTTCTTTGGATTCCGTGGCTCTCTAAAAGATATCTTGCCCGATGCCCAAACCAGCCTGGACAATACCATACAGGATTTTATATGTGGTGCGTTACTAGGGGCAACCAATAGCACCATCTTCTACCCATTGTCTGTTGTAAAAACCAACATGCAAAAACATGTTGGTGGGGAGTTTTGGAGCGTCAAAAGGACATTTCAAAGTATTTTTGAGAATCGGTCTCGCAGTTTAAGAAAAGTCTATAGAGGAGCTGTCATTAATTGCTCAAGGGCTATAGTGTCATGGGGTATTATTAATGCTTCTTTCGAAATGATATTATCGGGACTTAGGCTTATTAGCTGAAATGAATAATATATTGTCTTAGCCTTTTAATAATATATCATGGATGTTTTTAAAAGAATTGGTGGCATGGATAAAGAAATGAATTGTATAAATTTATCAGATTATGGAGCTTGATATTTCTATGAAATGATATTAGCTTCAATCAACCATCAAATCATAGAAAATGAGAGTGAGTAATTTAATTATGTTAGTAAAAACAAGAAAGGAAACAACATTTTGAAAAGTTTTGACTTTTGACTATTTATATGTGAAATCTTCACCATTTGCTAAATTTGCTATTTATTACCTAGTAGATAGTCAGTATCTATTAGCTAATTGATAGGGTGTAGCATAACCAATGGTAGTATATGCAATATTATCAGAAGTTTTAACTAAATTTGTATATATGTCTTTATCACTATGATCAATATTATGCTAATAAATTGTATGTTTTTTAAATGTTTTTGGTGATTATCAGAATTTTTGGCACGGTGTATAACTGGCATTAAATTTAATTTTGGTACCAGATTCAAGTCTGGCTCAAACAAAATTATTGAGGAGCACATTTTAAAAGCTTCAGAGATTTACTAAAAGCACCATAATATATTCCTATCCATTTTATCGTACATAATGCTGATCAATTACTTTTATTCCCATCTACTATTTTTCTATAAAAACTCGTTCATTCCAACTGTTCATCCTTTTCCAGGGCAGGTTTGATTTTTCTGTAAGCCATCCAGTCAGACAGTGTGTTGCTGGGGCTGTGTACAATCTTCTCTAAGAAAAACTAGAAGAAAAATGGAAACTACTCACACATAATATTCTTACACATTTGGCCCCAAACGCCTCTTATGTTGAGAAAAAATCTCTATGAAAAACATATGTTGGAATTTGAACCAAAATGTTTCAGCCTCATTAGATGAAGGTCACAACTCCACCCTACTCCTACACATTTTCTACAACCTGTTTTTCGGGCAAGGCTTGATGAGGTGGTGCAGGCATTCCCGTTAATCATTTCAAAATCTATTGCACACTTACTTGTAACGCCTCTTGCATGCTAGTTTTACACAGCTCGTACAGTGGAAGACTTTGAATAATCAAACACAGTTTGGACTGAAATCATAGGAATTTAGGAAATGTGAAATCAGCGTTAATTCATGTTCTCTGTAAAAAACCAAGGCCACATCAGTATGCAAAAAACGTGTGTGGATGTCCTAACGTGGACGAAACTGCTGGACATTCGCCACGCGGTTGAAAACTTGTTTAGACTTGTTTTTTTATCACAACCGTCCCGAGTAGTGCATGAGACTCACTTCAAAAGTTCAAGTCATCCCCAACTGATTTGATGGAACCTACACCTTTGCCGGAGCAAGTATAGAATACCTGGCCAACCAACCTCTTAACAGTGAATGTCATATAGTCTTCTAGATACATGTACCTTGTTTTATGTTACTTAATCCAGGACTTCCAGGGACCAAGGATAAACACTATTTTGAAAGAACGGGGCAGTTCTATACTCTAAAATTGATCCTCTAATCTGTCTTTAACATAATCGACTATTGGCCTGGTATTCTATAATTGAACCGAAATGATCCGACTCAGTCCATCGAGTCAAGTGCCACAAAATCTCCATTGATTTACCCTTACCTTGATATGTGATAGTGTTTCCACGTCGTCTTTTGAAAATGGCACAAATTTTTCTAGCAGAGCATCGACTTCGTCATCGTCGTCCACGTCGAGCTCTTGAGCTTTTCCACATAAATTATCATACCTGAAAGATTTGAACAAATTAAAACATATTTAGTTTATAGTACCGGTGTTATATAGTTTTTCTAATTTCTATGATACTAATATCCTATGGCTATGATACTAAATAAATCTAAAATATATATGACCAGTGATTTCCACATTTAGTTTTCTCAGAATCGTTTTTCATTGATCAAGTACAGATTGCATTGGGGCACCTAAGCTTACTCATACCTATCCAGATATCAGCTTACCTTTAATTCAGCATACCTTATTATCTCTATCAGGGACGAAAACCCTGAACAAAAACACTTCATTTTCGAATGATGACTGTTCACAACTAGTATAAAATTTTCTCCCAGAAGGGGCCAATGCATGTATCACTAATTCTCCTGCTGTTTTTTCACAGAAATACAAAACCATCTCTGTAGCAAACCTTACCATCCAGAGGGCCGGACATTTTGATCGTGGTAATCCTGTTGGAGTTTATTCGTCGCCCTTCTCATGGTTGGGACGTCGTTTTCTATGAGGTGAGACAGTTTTAACGCTCCCAACTTGATGCGAAACACCGGTTTCTCCAGTCTATAAAAAGATAAAACGTTTGTCAGTTTCAATATTTGATTTTTAATTGGCGCCTTAGAAGCAGCGACGTTGGAACACGCGGTTGTTATGTGCTTTTGTTTACGTTTTTGCACGTTCAATATACAATTATAGGCTCATAATTTCGCCGTATTCCTAACAACATGAACTGAGGTAGCAAGTTATGAAATCTATGCAGCGCTTCACTCTGATTTTTCAGCTTGCTTTGTTTGGAAACTTAGAGTAGCACCATCACAATATTAATTCACCTGGGTCGTAAGCACGATCAGTATCATTGGACTTAACGCTGCACGCATTAATAAAATAGCAATAAGTTCGATATTGTTGAAAACCATGGATGCGTGTGCTGTATAACATTGCTCAAGCAATCAACCTTGTTAACAACACTGGAATTATTTGTTTTTCCGCGGCTTTAGTACGAGCAGATTAACTCTTCTCACTTTTCAATTCTTTTCATGTCTTCATGAAGTCGTTTTGAGCATCTCTTTTGAACTTCCAGGTATTCTTCTTTCAGTTGATCAAGATTCAAACCTCTTGATTTTTCCGATGTTCTAATTGGAAGGATACAATTTTTAATATGATTGATGCATGGGCCCTGATCTGGATGATCCACATTAGATGTATTGGCCCTAATCTGGATGATCCACATTAGATGTATTGGCCCTGATCTGGATGATCCACATTAGATGTATTGGCCCTAATCTGGATGATCCACATTAGATGCATCGGCCCTAATCTGGATGATCCACATTAGATGCATTGGCCCTAATCTGGATGATCTACATTAGATGCATTGGCCCTAATCTGGATGATCCGCATTAGATGCATTGGCCCTAATCTGGATGATCCACATTAGATGCATTGGCCCTAATCTGGATGATCCACATTAGATGCATTGGCCCTAATCTGGATGATCTACATTAGATGTATTGGCCCTAATCTGGATGATCCACATTAGATGTATTGGCCCTAATCTGGATGATCCACATTAGATGTATTGGCCCTAATCTGGATGATCCGCATTAGATGCATTGGCCCTAATCTGGATGATCTACATTAGATGCATTGGCCCTAATCTGGATGATCTACATTAGATGCATTGGCCCTAATCTGGATGATCCACATTAGATGCATTGGCCCTAATCTGGATGATCCGCATTAGATGCATTGGCCCTAATCTGGATGATCTACATTAGATGTATTGGCCCTAATCTGGATGATCCCCATTAGATGTATTGGCCCTAATCTGGATGATCCACATTAGATGCATTGGCCCTAATCTGGATGATCTACTTTAGATGTATTGGCCCTAATCTGGATGATCCACATTAGATGTATTGGCCCTAATCTGGATGATCCACATTAGATGTATTGGCCCTAATCTGGATGATCCACATTAGATGTATTGGCCCTAATCTGGATGATCCACATTAGATGTATTGGCCCTAATCTGGATGATCCACATTAGATGTATTGGCCCTAATCTGGATGATCCACATTAGATGTATTGGCCCTAATCTGGATGCTCCACATTTGATCAGTCAATAAACGGATCTCAGATGAACCACAATAATATCGTACCTTGAGATTCCTGGTCCTGAACGTTTTTCATCTAAAACGTTTTAAATATGGCTGAATGAAGTAATCGATCAATGTGCGGCCACTGACGAATTAAATCGATGGGGCATTTGGGCTTTTTTAACCTTCCAAACTTTAACAAATACGGATGCAGTCAGACTAACTGAATATTGCTTTTCAATGGTGGCAATGTTTTCAAGAATACATAATTGAAAACATACGTCTCTCGTTCGTTGCCACTTGTTGCCACACGGGCAAGGATTGAGCCTGACCCAGCTCCCCGCTGTTTCCAGTATTTGTTATCATTCCGAGAAATTGGCCACGCCTGGATAAAAGACACGAAACTGAATATATTATCTACGAGCGAAAAGTCACCAGTGATGGTAGTTTCTTCAAAACTGTGGTGTGTTCTCCAACCTCTCTCACTAGCCCGACCCCTTTCCACCATCGCGTGGTGCGACCTCCACTCTTACTACCACCACCCCCTCGTTTTACCTCCATCTCTTCTTTCTACCTCCACCTCTTATGTGCCACTCCCCGCCCCCAATCCCGTTCGGAAGACAACGAGTTATTGTCCTCCTCAGTCGCTTACCTTTTCACTGGACACGCCGAAAATAAAGTGCCCTGAAGACTGCAGCGACTGACCCCAGATCTACTGGATGTATCGTGACTTGCAGCCACAGGTTCTGGAATATCTTCTAACGTACCTGGTCGGGCGATGATGTTTTTCAAACTAAATAGAAATGTTAAACTGGTTAGCTGGTCGCTTCCCCGTATGTTTTTCTCACCAGTACAGTAAACTCACACCAAACGCACCCTACCGTTTAGTTGCAAAAGCAGTGCTTTGCTTCTCAAAGTTAGAGCCGCATTCTATCGCCGACAATCGTGAAACGTTCGGAAAGGATTCGTTGGGGATCGTACTCGTTACGCGATCCGTATCACTGCCACGGACGTGAAACGAGTCCGTCGAGCCTTCGTTATTTTGCGCTGCGGTTGTCATTCGCTGATTGTGTCTGATTGGTTTGCCTTTTGAATCTAAAGGCACGTCTGTGTTGATCACCTTCAGGTGGTCACGACTGAGTGGCACCTGTAAATATGTTGACACAGTGACTGCCAACATTACTATAGACGTGAAGAGCCTGTCTATGGTGGGCTAGAATTTTGTAGTGGGAATGTACTTTAATATGCCCTGACTCAGAAATTCCAGCCTAGAATAATTGAGCTAGATCTCTTTTTCAACGCCATGACGATTTGTGTTTTGCTGAAGAAAATCTATAGTTGACCAAGTCCAGGCTTGCATTTGTAATCACGGTCTATGGATGATTTCGACTGAGACTATGTATTTACTATGCTATCGAGGATAGTTCCATCATTTTAAAGCAGTTTTCTGTTTAATGTCTTGCTTGACTACACTACCCGAGCTCTAAGAACAGCAGTTTATATAAAAACGTACCTTGGTTCGTAAGTCTCGTGTTTTCAAATGGTACACGCAGCATATCAAAGAATGAAGAGCTTTGAGGGTCGCCACAAAATTCTTGCATTTTCTTTTGTGATACTCTCTGGAAAAAAGCAGTTGATAATGAATCATGAATCAAGTTGCATGGCGTCATGAATCAAGTTGTATACTTATAAATACTTCTGCCTTTTGAAAGAACCTCTTGGTTATTTACAGATTCTTCTAATATTGGATGTCCCCACTAGATAGTTGCAATCAGAAAATGCAATCATGCATTATCATACTTTTGAGGGTAAAACTCGCTTCGGCATGGCTAATTTTGATGTCGCAAGCATACGAATCCGGTATTGTGTAAACGGGAGCTTACTGTAATTCGTTCGCATCCAATTTTCTCGTCTCCTCAAGCGCCGTGTCTTCAATATTTCCAGCTGACTTCCTAGAAGACACCGATTTCTTTCTTGCGTATGGCGTTCCGAGTGGCGTGTTCAGAGTTAACATCGTCTCAAGTTTCTGTTCTTCCAGAATTTCAAGCATCTAGATTAAAGCACATACGATCGTGGACCGTATCACAACAAGCCACAACTAAAGCAACATGTCCATTTGAAAGCAATATGTCATTTTCTGGCACAGTTCGATAGAAAAGATTATTAAATTACAGCTGTACTTAAGAATGACCAAAGGTGTATTTTTTGCCAAGAGCATCGATTTTAATGGTTTTGTTGTTCGTTTTAACTGGTGTATTGAACTGCCTTTTTGTAGCGTTGAATCGAACGCTTTTGCGTCGGTAGAAACAAATTATGTTTATTTTCCATAAGAACTATCTTGCTGAAGACAAATGTGATAATATGAAGCACAAGAAATTTAAAAAAAAATCTTCAAGGCTGTGATTTCTGAAAAGGTGGCAAGCCTTTTCACTGTGTTAAGTTCTCCAGGCGGTATCGAAAGGTGGACTAAGGGTATGATCCATGCAGGTGTCATGATATTTCCTACTCAAGTTTCTAACCTTTTTCTGCCTCTCATCACGTAAGCAGCCTTCGTAACTCTGTCCTGCCCGTACAGCGGCTAGCCGATTCTTCATTAGTGCCAGTCGTCCGCCTATCGCTGACGTCATGCCTTTGCTCGTGTGGCAATGCTCCTTGCTTTTGAAAGATTTACTGCTTTCGTCGTCAAACTGAATATTGGAATCGCACAAATCTTAGCAATGGATTGCAAAAGGTCATTTTAACGTTTAAATAGCCTTACATGACACATGTTAGGGGCCATTTATAAGATCCTGATATAACAGTGAGCCCGTCCCACACGAGAGCTATATATTATTTGCTGAGCTAAAGACCTCACGAGGTTGTTAGCTCAGCAAGTTCGTGTGCGGATAGTTTCCGTGAGGAATTCGACTCGAGAGGCAAGTCTCTCATGTGTTCCATCGGTTTTCGGGCTGAGCTAACTGCCTCGTGAGGTCGTTAACTCAGCTGATAGCTCTCGTGTGCGGTGAGCTTAATCCTCGCAGTGGTGCAATCATCCGGACAATGGCATGTGCTTGATTTGTGTCATGGACTTATTTTAATGCCTCAAAGTCATCTCCCACTTCGGCTAACCAGGCCCATGTAAACATCTCTCTACTCGAGCAGGAGAGAGAGCTTCTAAAGCACACCTACCTTGAGGTAATGAGGATCTGTCACCTTATTACGGAGCTTCTCCCATAGATTCTTCGAAGCTTCTGGTTCTTTCGGAGTCTATAAATGAAAGAAAAAACAGTACAAGGGCATCATCTTATATTCTATAAAGTCCCGTTTACACTTGCGATTTTTGCTGCGATTTTCTTATTTTTTATTAGATGTGAACGAGTAATTTGTTACAAATGCTCTGATGTATAAGAAGAGAATTAAAAGTTCTGATTTGAACTTCAGTAACTAATTCACTCGTTTGTCTTAAACGAGCCTTAAAACCATACAATTAAACCGAGCAAGTTCGGCGATTTCAGGTCTACATATTCTTCGTTTGATAGATCTAAACGAGTGAACAGCAATGATAGTCAGTTTAAAAGTGGCATCATCTAAACATTAATAACTCATCCTCTTGTTCATATCTTTCAAAAGAAGGTAATCTGTCCTAAACTGGCCCCAACATCAACAGTTACCCACCGTTGCTCCTAGCGTTTTCAGTACCAGTTCCCGAAGATCTAGTTCTAGCTCTCCAAAGGTTTCATAAGGCCTTGCAACAGGCGAAAAGAACCCTCTTGTTGTCTGTTGTTCGTGTCTGTCGTACTTCAGCTTCCAGGCCCTCTTCGAACGAATTGGCTTGTAGATCGTCTCGTTTCGTATTTGTATCTTTGCGCCCAAGGAAAAGTACCGCCTCTTTGGCACCGTGCTTCTGTTTTCAAAACATTGTTTCGCCTGGAAAGAAAACCCTAGCATCAATTCATTGTTGAGCTAATGAAATACGTTTAAAATGTAATTCCCTGGTAATCCTATCCGCGGTCGCAGTAACAGTTGCAAATAGCCCGGCAGTATTTTACTATCAAAATATGCTGTGGTGGTTCATGTCTGAGCCACTCGAGATCTACTGAGAAATATCGTCAGAAACACCGTAAAATTTCCAGTAAAGTTCAGACACAAACTATGGCAGACAGAATTACTATGTTCACTTACCACCTGGCTATAAACGTGTATGGGTCTAGCGTGAGATTGATATCTTGTCACGTTCGTGGAAATGCCATATTTTGTACAATTAAAACATTGCAGCAAAGCATCAGAAAGATCAGCTCGGCGTGTGCTATAATTTACTTCAATTTAACTTACAAAGTGCGAATGAAATTCAAAGGTTCGACGTTTTGAGCGGCCGGTTGCGTTGCGAAACGTCTTCATTTGTTAGCCTAGCACAGGTGCCTCGAAAAATATGGCATCTGGACTTGCCAATTTGAATATTCCCTTATTTATTTGGATAAATATTGACCAGCGAGAATGCGAAAATACATCGAAAAATTGCTTTCTTTTGCCGGCAAGTCACAATTCTAGGACTCTGAACTGTGCTATTTATACTAGATTTGGTTACCCACTGCGCTCCCAAAAGGTGTCCTTCGTGTCGTGTGAAATGTATTTGATTTTTAACATGATGCGACTAATAGATCGATCTCCCCAGCGGCCCGTATGTTAATCGATCAATTCGCTTCAAATCCTCTGAAATGACTGCTTGTTATTTCACTATTATGCGGTTTGAAATGACATGATTTACACACAAGCTGTATATAAACAATTCTTATCTATTCTCAAAGAATAAACATCTGCATATATGAGAAGATTCGACTGTTTACAGATTGCGTTTGTGTTTCAATGTATAGACACAATGGGACCGTTTTTGCGTTGGCCAAACAATTGTGATATTGTTAAAGGCGGTATTGTTTCTAATTCAAATTTTGTCCCCTGTGAGAAAACTTGTATTTTATTAAATTTTTTAGTTAAATGTTCTCAAGTATAGAAATTCCTGCTGAAACTTACAGCAGTCGCTATCTCAAATGGCAGCACCAAAACATTTCCAATACATAAGCCTGGTTCAGCCTTGTCCTAAGAATCTGAGATTTCCCTTGTCTGAGGTCGCTGGTGCGCAAAATGCTTCGTCCATCGGAAAGTAATACAATGGATCCCCGATTCTTAGGAGCCAGTGTTAACAAGGCTATAATACAAAGCAAATGAAATTGATAAAAAGTATGGACAGGTAGTTTACGCACCTCCTTGGTGATTTCTACGACGGGACTAATCTGTGTGGCCTGGACAACATAAGAGAATCCTACCATAGTCAAAATTTCCACACGCACAGCTCACACCTCGCTCGAGTTATATTTGATTACTTTATGAAAGTCTTGAACAGCGAGTTCTCATGAAAACGCATTCAAAAACTACAGGCGCTTGTTTTTTCAACCGTAGGACATTTTTGCGCATTGGTTAATTATGCCCTTGCTTGGCGTCATCAATGGGGTTGCGCGCGCGTTTCTTAGCAACGATGGCGAATCTTCGCGCTAGTTCATGACGTAATTCGCAGGACAAATTGCCCCGGAGCCAGTTGATCAAAACGGGTAGTTATAATCAGTGAGTGGATTAGTAGATATATTCCTGGGTTAACACAAAATAGTAAATACAGTTTGCCATAAACCTATTCATTAGGGCGAGCCGATTATTCCACAAAAATTTTCACACAAAATAATAACAAATCTTCATATAGATTATAAATATATTGATCTAACCATATCAAATTTATTTTTACATAAATTAGTCTATATTAATCCAAATCTTTCTTTACTTAAATTTGTCTATAGTGGTTCTTATACGCTTTCAATTTCAAAATTATATCGTCCAAAAAACACGGTCTAAATCGATGTTTCGAATTGTTCAAATTTTAATATGTTCGTCATCAACCTCCTCCTTATTCGCGGCCCACGACAAATACGTGTTCCAAAATATCGCGACAAAGTTGACGACAAACACGCGATGTTGTAGAGGAACAAAGTTGAAATTTATCGTCTGTACCAGCGGCCAAATAAGGTAATTGGTCTTCAATGTATCGAAGTATTGATTCGCAAACTTTGCCTTGATTTCCGCTTGCGTTTTGCCGAAAAGTAGACTGGTCGTTCCGAAGAAGGTCGCGATGATACACGGTGCGAAAATGGTCTGATCCATGGCCACCTTTTTCATAGCATCGACGGTTCGCGAGCCCTTGATAACGCTGTCCAGCAGTATATACCAATAACGCATCGCTGGACCAACTATGAATATCCCTATCGACGCCATCCCTAGCGTTCGCTTAAAATCGTGCTGTCGGCCACGTCTCTCGACTATCTGTTGAGAACAACAATCGCCGATCGCAATAAGTACGCCTAGAAATCACACAAAAGTGAGGCGGGGGTTTACTATTTTGAAACACACTTTCATTGGATTGGTCGTCCTATATATATATATATATATATATATATATAATATATATATATAATATATATATATATATATATATATATATATAATATATATATATATAATATATAATAATACAAAAACGTTGCCGCAGATAGATAGATAGATAGATACTCGAAATCTAATTAGAATTGCATATGTTTTGTAATATGATTGAAATCCCATGCAAATGTAATCATATGCAATTCTAATTAGACTTCGAGTATCTATCTATCTATCTATCTGCGGCCAACGTTTTTGCAAATGGGTGTATATATAATATATATATAATATATTATATATATATATATATATATATATATATATATATAAAGATAGTTAACTTTTAACTCTAGAGAATCAGCTTATCAAAATCGTGTATTTTGGTGCCACGATCTTATTTTAGGCTTTCTTATATCATGATCAGGCTTTAGAATTGTATGAGGCACCAGTATTTTGAACACATCACTCAACAATATTGAAGACGAATGATCTGATTAAATCGATTGAGAACCCAATTGATTCGCTAGATCAGAGTGATATGAGAGCATAGAGTTTGTAAAAGTTTTGTGTATAAGTCCATAGTCCATACCTGCGCTAGCGACTTGTACTTTGAACGTATGAGTTTCCAAAAGTCGAAGATATCCTCTCCACAAGGCCGCCATCTTGGATATTTGTATGAGAGATACTTCGTGTAAGATGCAGAAAACAGCGAGAACAATTTGGGACTTGATAAAAGACAATCTGTGAATGGTTTCAAAGGGGATGAACGAACTTAAAACCTACTGAGCTAAATGATATGGTCAAACACTGGCACAGTAATCCTTTGTTTCCTTTGTCGTAGCCTTGACGGCATCAATAACGATTTCAGTCGATTCTTTGACAACGAAAAAGAGCCTGGTAATGAGTTTGTTACCAGAGTACGTGAAAAATGTTAATCTATCTTCCACACATGGTTAAATCTATCAAATACTCCGGCTTCGTTGCCCCAGCTCGATCACTGCTGCGAGACTTTAGAATGAATCATCCTTCAAAATCTTTGATCAAACAAATTCATCCGATCTTAGTTGACAAAAATACGTCGAAAGAACCAAGTTTTGATATTTTCTTATTTTGTTAGTAGTTAGGATTTTGTTCGTTGTTTCAGGGCCGAATTGGCAACGTTTAATCGTTAATACTTCCAGTGGTAGACTCTCATAGGCCCCTATATTATAATTCATCGCGCCAACAAGATTCGGGCACCAAGTTGGTTTGAACTGAAAAGGATTAAAGCTCTGGATTAGAGTCACACAATTAGGGCAATCCGTTGAATCAACACAACCACACAGCTGACAATATACCAAAAATAATAATTTAATACACATTACTTGCCAATTTGACAATTATTTTCATTTCTATTAAATATATAAATTAATTTCAGAATACGTGTTCGAATGACTATATATCAGTATTCTCTTTCCTGACAATATTATGATATGTGCTTGAAACATCATAAATGGATTTCACATTTACAAAAGGTAATAAAACGATTAATAAATAATGGTGATAATGGTAATTCACAAGGCCACGTTAAAGGTCGTTATATATACTAGGCTTTCACATGACTTGAGCCTATTTTGATCTACCAATGTGGTAGAAGTTATTCAATTTACCTATCAAAAACGTGGTCTATATGCAGTGACGTAGCCAACTCGATAATTTAGAGGCCGGGGGAAGTCGGAATCTTTCCATGTATTCTTGCTCTCTGCCCACAAAAATAGACATAAAAAATTGTGCTAAACACTGATATATATGAATATGCGTCACTCCAATGATCGAGTGGGTTTACTTCACTGCCTTGTTGCAAAACATTTGCAGAACAGGGTCGTACATGTCGTACGTCCCTGCTTACGGTACCGTGAGGGGGTAGGTGCCTCGCATACGACCTCGCGGTATTCTGGTCATTTATTCGCACTCCGTATCCGTGTCGTCAGTTAATAGATCAGTCACAATGTGCGTGGAGTCGTGTATCGTCTCGCGGCTAAATTTCGCGTGGACATTTCTGTGAGCTGCCCACGAGAGGAAACTGTTCCAAAATATTGATGCGACGTTCACAAACAGAATGTTATACTTCGGCTGCCGAATGTAGTAGAAGTTTATCAACTGTATCGCCGGCCAGACTGAGTAATTCACCGCCATGTTCGGGATGAATTCTGCTTTTAGCCTTGCGACTGTCTTTTCCATTGAGCTACGCTCAAGTAAACCCAGAGAGCCGTAGAACAGAACCAAAAACGCTGGTGCAAAAAGTCCTTGATCCAAGCAAACCTTTTTTAAAGCTACTTTCATCGTCCTTTGTAAAAAGAGTTTGCTCAGAAATACGTCGTACCAGACGTGAAATATTGGTCCAATTATGAACAGTCCAGTGCTGGTAAGGCGCACAGTCCTCCAGACATCGTGTTTGTTCCAAGTTTGACCCTCCACAAGCTGTTGAGCTGCTATGTCACCTGCACCCATCAGCAGACCTAGAAAACGCGAGAGGATTTCAGTTAGACTCGGACAAAACCTTCTTTGTAACCAATCGAGCAAGCTGAAGGATTAGCTTTACCCGGATTGGATACGAACTTGCGACCTTTGGCTTACTAATTTTTACTCGAATATAACCAAAGAGCAGCGTGGCAGCGTCTTCAAACAACTTAGCATCAAATGTGGTATAACAACTACATAAATAGACAAAACATTTTGCGACGTTTCGACCTGAGGGCCTTCGTCACGAGAGAGTATACTAACTCTCCTGACAAAGGCCCTCAGGTCGAAACGTCGAGAAGTGTTTTGTCTATTTTAGGCAGTTGTTATACCACATTTGATGCTAATTTTTACTCTGCCAACTTCAAGTCAAGACGGTTCCAATATGTGATATCTCGGAAATCAGGTGATTGTGATATTTTCAGATCACACCAGAAAATTCGACAGTAAAAACCCTAGAGTCCAGTCCGTTCAGGAACTATTACTCCGTTGTTGTGACTTTTTGTCAACATCACCCGCGTGTCCGCATCCGGAATTTCCTTTACCCCCATCCGGCACTTAAGTACGTAATATATACAGACCAAAATATTCCCATGTGTTTTAAAAACACGAAAGCCATTTACGGGTGGCAAGTAGAAACAGTCGTTTCTGTCCGATGGGGTCGATAAATTAATTTTTTTCCAAATCTGCCTTCACTTCAAACTATAAAGCAATTTACATCGAGCCGAACTGACTATTTATTAATTTCATTGTGTTCACAGAATTATAGAAAGGCTCTTTGTTATTCTCTGACGTGCCTTCCTAATGATAGACGAACACGCAAAACAAATAATCTTAATGCTTTTAAATATGTAATATGTAAATTTTTGCATGATAATCCGGAATTGCTAATGCCTAGGATTTTGCGTCTCTAATCACGCTAACCTATGTAGCAGATTGCTCTCGTACGGGTCTAGTTTTGTAAGTATTTAATAGTTATGAACAAAACTGAGAGTTTTATGTCAGAAACTCAGATAAATATAAAAGCTTTGCTCAAAGATTTCGCAACCAGGGAACTCAGTATGATCTGAACTCCCACACTGAGGATATTGAAGTGTTTTTTTTACATAGAATATATTATTTAACCGCAATATTGCTTGTGAAATTGCGTATTTAACAAACGTACTTTAATTCATATGTACATGACCCATTGATACGAGACTCTATGGCCTACTTATGATAAGTTCAATGAATTTTTTCCATGTAAATACAATCATTGTGTACATAAATATAGAGCCCTTTAACATGCGGTTAAGTGCATGATGTACTTTACTTCTTGTCGGAATTATGCATATGATTATCCGAACGATTTCATAGGCTGAGATCATAATTCATTTTTTTAAAGTATCGACATAAAAAATCAAAGGCCACAATAGCCTAATATACGTTCTGCAGTGAATTCCTAGCATGTTTTCACCTGAACGAAAATAAAACCATGCAGACATTCTTGAGTGTTGTTGGTAAGAGGTCACGCCATTTGATGAAAAATAGACTTCAACTCGCAGAGTTACACAGGCTCGTTTATTCCAAGGCTTTAAAGGGCGAGGTGTGATTGTTCTTAAAATGGCGACCAATTACTTTGTATACATACCGTCACGTTTTCCAATCAATGAAAAAATATTTGGCGTAACTCACATTCTCGGACTTAGTGTAGCTGGGTTGGAATCATGTCTTTTAGATCCAAAAAACATAGATTTATTTAAAACAACTCTCTCTATATATTTTGAACTAACAGAGGGAAAAACACACGGTGTATTTTCAAAATATTCGTAAGTAATTTTAATAAATTAAACACTTTTAGAGGATGCTGCTTCGTAGCTACGAACAAAAACAACAATCCTGCGGACAACTATGTGACTAATTCGCCAGCTATAAGATTTATAGAGTTACTTAAGTATTAATAAAAAGACACGCACGTTTGTGGATATATTTTTGTAGCTACATACATTCATATACGATCGCTATAACGGAGCAGTAAGCAAGCGACTGCCTGTATAGATAGTAGGGTATGATTTATTCTGCAATAAACATTGGTTTGGTCCCCAGAAGCTAAATTAAACAGTACATCTCCTATGAACGAGGTCTTACGATGTAGGAAAAACATTCACAATAAGATTTCGAGTTTGGGTTTGAACAGCGGCGAACATAACAGGCGATGAATTTTCAGCTACGCGTTAACGCCTACAGGCGATGTATCATTGTAGCACCTTTAGAAATAACAGCTTCTCAGTCGTACAAAGTATTTAAGAATTTTGTAAATGACTGTGATAACGATATTTTTCTCTCTTAATCGTTGTATTGACGACTATCATCAGTTCATTGATCCACGGAGTTGTTAGTTACTGATTTCTATATGGTACGAAGCGGCTATATCATCTGAACGCGGTTATACCTTTATAACTAGATTTGATTATTTCAATATCTGAAGTATTCTCTGGTTTTCTAAAGGAAGCCACAGCATGATTTTAAGTTCCTTGAATCGAAAGATCCGTTTGAAAGGGACACCATTAATCCTTATGATAAAGGTTCCGAAAAGAGTTAATTGAATAAGCGCGAGTGAATAGGTCCATTGTCGGGTAATGATTTTCAGAATCATTCAGATCTTTTATGAATGGTAACGTTGAATGACAATATTTAAAAGAGGGGAACTGCTATTGTGTTTCTACAAATAAAAGAGCGAGCACTATGTCCGTACAAGGACGTTCTTGGATACATGATATCAGTAAAACTGGCTAATATATTTCATATTATTCGTGAAGTATTTATCTACATGACCATACGATAAAGTTCGTGTGCAGATCATGAAAAAATCGCGCCAAATTACCAGTCCGTACGTATACGGAGAAAGGACTTTGGACAAACATATATAGAACACGCACAGGCATTAAATATTTAAACATGAACTAGTGGTTCAACTTACCTGTTTGTAATGCATGCTTGGCAAGCGGTCGAAGCTGTCTCGTAGACGGAATTTGTCGGAGAATCTTTACAACTTTCGTGATGCGAAACAGAATGCTGAGGACTTGCATCGTTCGGCCCTAACGCGAGCAGTTCGTCGCTCGTAACATCCAGCTGATAACACCCGTTGAGTTAATATCACACGACGGTGTGTTGTTCAATACTACGAACCGTAGTCTGAGCGATCTGAGTAATTTCCCAATCAACCGGTATATTCCGGGTGTTATTTACCAACGTCATAAGCTTGTGGCGTAGCGTAATCGTGACCTCGTGGAACCCACGCAAAAGTCGAGGGAAACCTGTATTCAAACTTGTATTGGCGTTATCAGCAGATGTTAGAAACGGGAATTACGGTCAAGTCGTCACAGACAGCGATATTTGCATATGGAAATTCTATAATTTGCATTGAGCATAGTTCGTGTTATTATTATATATGCACATTTATACAAAGCCAAAGGTTAGGTTTTTTATAGGAATTTTCTTTCACATGTTTCAATTTAAACCAGTCTTTATAGGTGCTGTTTTCATTGAGGTTTACATGATTCCGTTTAGCCGAGATTCAACGAAATGATGAGATGATTCCGAGGTATTGAAATAACTGTTTATGCCACCAAAGCACCAAACAAGCACACGCTATTGATAAGATGATTACACGTCCTACACGACTCGTTGAATTTAAGCGGATTCATGTAAAAAAAAGCCCTGCCGACCTTGCGAAGCCGGTAAGTTTTACATCATGCTCTTTGCCGCCCTGTTGTGAAGGAATAGGAGTGTAATCACGCATACAAATAGATTGGAAAAGACATATCTAACTGTCTCAGCGTCTGTCTAACCGGCCGTGTTTTGGAAAATATTTAGTTCTATGATCAATTAAGGCTGGTTTCCATTTAATCTTTACGATCGCTTCAGTCGTTACGATCGCTAAAAAAAATTACTTGCGACCGTTGCGATTAAAGGGACTTTATGGCGATTCTCCATTACCTCCGCTCCGCCCGCGCGGACGAAGCGCGCTTTGTTTTTCAGGCCGGTCACGGTCGCATGGACAGAATTTCCAAAGCCGCTTCGCCCGCGCGGGTGAAGCGGACGTTAATGGAGAATCGCCTTTAAGCATGTAGAACGAGAACACGACGAGTCGACGACGGCAGCTATCAATTAATCAATACAATGGTTCATTGAAAAGAAATGAATTATTGAATATCTATGGCCTATAGGAGGGAGTTTTAGACGTGATCTACGTTCTGTTTACAACGGCAAAACATCGTTTATTACGTCCTATGTAGAACGTCTGCTGTCTGTATTTCAGGACCCAGTGGGCGCTACCTCGAATTAGGCTCTATAGAATTGTCCCTAAACGTAAACACAATGTTTTCAACGTCTTATATCTCATTAAATCGGTACAGTTGATAATATACCACAACGTTTTACCGTAACATTGATTTAAAGGAGTCTTCCAGCCACGTCGTCGCCGTGTTGCCGTCCTCGAGGCCGTCCGTCCTACATGCTTAAGGTCCCTATTAGCTCAGTGGCGATCCCCGCGACCACGTACCACGTACCATGCACGATCGTGATCGCTGGGATAGACGACGAATTTTTTTCAGTGGCGATCGTAATGACTGAAGCGTTCGTAGCGATTAAATGGAAACCAGTCTTTAGGATTTCTATTCGAATCAATGCTTCCAGTGGTATTAAGCCGCGTATTATTCCAACATTCGACTTATGTTGCGCAATTAGCCGAAATATCTTGTTCAACCTTGTGCTCTGTGTATATAACTGATCACCAGCCTAAATCAATTATGATTTTTGGCACTTCACTCGATGTAGGTAAATTCTACAGCTTCTTTTTAAAGGATCTTAATTTCGAGTGGAATTATACACACTTCAAATTCAAGCCAGGAACAGTTGATGGGAAAATGAGTCAACTATAGGTCCTCCGGCAGGAATCGAAAATAAAAACCTACGCTTTTGTGATGCCGGTGCAATGCTCTTGCCACTGAGCTACAGAGGTAGCTGACAAGAGCAAGCGTGGTTAATGTGTATAGAATGGTAATGCCGGGAATAGGTGAGGGTAAATCAATTATGATTTTTGGCACTTCACTCGATGTAGGTAAATTCTAGAGTTTTTTTTTAAAGGGCTGCCTATAGTTTCAGTCTGCTTGTGCTTAATGTTCAACATTACAACATTCAGTTTTCTGCGTGACTGACAGAGATCAGTTCGATCAGAGTGAGTTTAAAATTTTGAGTGGATTTCAGACTAAGCTTTCATCACATCTCTATGCTCTGAACTTTCGCATCAGGCTTCGCCGGTCGCTAGCACAAGTTTGCACAGGATCAACTATGGGCGGTCTTCCGTCCTCCCTGTTGAAATAAACAGTCCGAAGCCGAAGGTCCGAGCGAAGGTCAAGGAGTCTATTTCTGATAATTAACCAAGCAAATCGCACACAGAATCACGCTGATGGTGGATTCCTTTTCCCGCTAACAACCAACAACCTGTGTATTTAATATATCATCAATTAGAAAACTTTCTGTTCGCAATATGCGCTAGTGGGCATCTTGTTTTCATATTGATTAACGCGTTCTTAGGAAATAAATGGAACAAGTATGTTTGAAAGGACCAGTTGAATTTGTTTATGAATATAGACGGTTTTTCGGAAAAGGTTAGCCCAACCCATCTATGCTCAGCGCAACTACAAAACTGTACTCATTTTACACGATCGTGAATAGAAAATAACACTAACAATATTTTTTAAAAGGTCGTTTCTAATATATACTTTAGGAAATGTGGTTACAAGATCTCTAAGAATTAAGAAAAATCATTGATTTTTCACCCCATGTAAAGTATATAACAAATTGATCGACGATTACATAAACTTATGCTAACCAACGCCCTAAATGTTAATTAGTAAATACTCCGTGCTTCCATTTCTACCCTATTTTTACGTATAATGTCCACCAATTTTGGTAGTTTATTACTTTTTTAAATCCAATAATTAAAAACGAGTGCAGCGAATACCATCGGGAATTGTTCCACAATAACAAAATACTTCTGAAGAACTCAGGTCATTCTTCTATAAAAAGTAAAGGGCTGTTTTAACCGCTTCTAAAGGTTATTAATTGACTCAAGAGATTTTTTCATTTACTGAAATTTGCAGGGCAAACAAGAAGAAGCATAGGTAAAACAAAAGAGAGCGAGGTTTTCAAACCTAGAACGATAATTGGGCGTGTGCTTATCTTTTATATAAAAGTTTATATAAGGTTTTAGTCGGTACAAAGTTGCACTCTGACCCAGGATAACGAATGTTGGCGTGATGTCATGCATCATTATTGCATTCTGCTTTGGCACTTACCTATTCTCAGATAATCCACTAATCTGCTAAACAGCGTAAACTACACAGAGCTCTAGGTCATACACAAACGAAGAATACATTGTAATCGTCACTAACCTTCGACATCGATGGGCAGAGAGCAATTTAATTCTACTATTTTTGATCTTCTCAAATAACTGTACGTGTATGTGATGATGTGCTTGCCTTCCTCAAACCTCCAAGGAGAGCTGATGTTCGGGTTAACCCTTATCGTGATTTGGCCCCCGTTCCTTTGCCATTCCCAAAATCTCGAATTACATCTTAATTCTGGTCTTTCCCAGTGAATCAAGACCTTCTTTCCTTTGGCTACGTACGCGCCATAGTTTGAAGTGTCACAAAAATAACAGTAATCTAAAATATACAGTGAAATGTGGTTCTTTGAAAACAGGGAGGGTTTATCGAAGAGGAAGATTATCGCTAGAGGAAAACCGTCCTTATGGAATGATAGCTACTTTGAAGGGAGAAATTGTAGAAATAGAATGGATGTTAGAGAGGGTGTTTATAAGTGAGAGGATGGTCAGTTAAAAATAGCTCGCGGTAATGAATATATGGTATATAGATAGAGACACTGCACAACATTAATTAATAGAGGGACGTGGGTAAATTGACTAAGGTTGTAGTTTGACTATGGAGTTGTATGATATATAGTTTGAATTACTACAATTTTGTAAAACGTAACCAAATGGAAAAGGATTGGTAAGAACTCTCCCTGGATATTGGTAACGTAAACTTCTGCCCTTACTGTCATAGAGGCAAGGCGAAATTAGGTGGTACAGACCACCTAATTTGTCCAAGTTTGCTTCAAAGTATATTGTTGACCATCTTGCCATCCTGTCTCTAAATCCTCTGAAAGTAGTTTCAGTTCCAACTGCTAGGCCGAGCACGGTGACGTCTTTATCTATCAAACTTTGTGCCATGTCACTTGCAAGCAATATCTCGCCATAACTCATATTTTTGTATTTATCACCAAACGGGTCCTCCCCACGGCGTCGGATCGGTTGTCCATGCGTAAGGATCATGACAGCATCAAGAAAACCCGACCTATAATTTTCTGGGCTTGGTCGGTAAAATTTCTACACATATTATTAAAAAATTTTTTAGTCAAGTTTTAATTTAAGTTAAAAACATCAAACTTTATTGCTAAGAACTGGGTGAAAACAAAGATGTGTTTTTTTTAGAAAAACGCCGATATCTTTTTAGGTTTTCAAAACACCCAAAGGCTACCTACCTAAGGGGCTGTTTACATGAGCCCGGTTACCCGAGATTCAACGAAGCGTGAGAGGACTTTGAGGTATTGAAATACGACTTATGACAGTGACACCAAACAATCACATGCTATTGTTGTGGTGATTATACGACTCCAGGATCATGTTATCTGCTCATTTTAATACCTCAAAATCATCTCACGTTTCTTTGAATCTCGGGTAACCGGGCTCATGTAAACAGCCCCTTAGCCCTGCGTGCAAATGACATCTTACAATCGTCAAAACGTACCGTGACCTATAACCAGCCGGAGAGTATACTTTCGAGGAATATAAGTACATATAAACTCTGGAAACCAAATTGAATGCAACTGAGTTATGCTGTGGCCTCCTTAGCTTTGCGCGAACAATAGCCTAATATTATATAAATTTTGAAAATTTTTGGTCTTTCAATTAGGATTAAATTGTCTTTAAAATAAACCCTTAACCCATCTCACCTCATCAGCCATTTTTAACGCCATTCCTGTTCTTGTACCATCACCAGATATGTCATTGTAATATAACCTGTCCAGAAAGTCTTGAAGTTCCTGCTGAGTTTGTTTTTCTCCCATGTCCAACAACACTCTTGTTTGTGCTTGTGTGCTGAATGTTATGATGCCAATATGGCTTCCGCGTGGACCAACCTT